GTAAGTTCGATTGCATGGTCCCATGGTCGTCTTTGCGGTAAAGAATCGAAGTCTTCTTTGCTAAATACGTCGGAGTAATCGTGATAGTGACTCGGGATGGTATTTTCAAAGGTCTTGGCTTCGTGTTTCAGGCTCTCCTTGATCGCTAGATCAGTGGCTGTAGTACGAATGCGTGCTGCTCCCGTAGTGAAGTATGTCTCGTGGTCTAAAATGAAGATTCTATCTCCTTCTTCTAGGCGAGCCTCCGGATCGCTGGGCTCTTCTTGATCGGCATCAATATCAATTAATCAGGCAGCATATTTGCAGGTAATTGGGCACCGATCAAATTGAATGACTTGTTCTTGCCAATCAATGGATGGATTATGAATCTGTAACCACTCATATCCAAGGAAGATTGGAGTCTTCCCTAGGTTGGTGACTGCGAACGGGAGTCGTTCTACGTGGTCCTGAATTTCTACCCTTAATTCGACAAAGTTGGTGATAGCGCCTCCGATATTATGCGTGCCATCTGCATTGTAAACAGGGACCAGTGATGGCAGTTTCTTTGTAGCGATGTCATTATCGCAGACAAACTGCGCATCAATCGAAGATCCAGTACATCCCGTGTCTAACAGCGCTTTGACTGACAAGCGTTGTTGCGTGTCGAGGGTGGTGATGATCATGGGGACGTCCATCTGTGTCCCTTTCCTTCCTTGGATAAATCAAGGCTGTCTTCGTAATTCATTCAAGAAGTCTATTGCTTCCTCTTCTTCCATCTGCCTGATTCGGTTCATACAGGCTTCAGAAGCATTGACACTCTTCTTTGAGTGTACCCATTCAGTCAACAATCTTAACGCTGCAGCTTCTTTGTTGACTATCCATTGCCGTATCCAAGCCGCTGTCCAAGGTGTGTGGCGCTGCCACTGTGTAGGTTCGGTCTGATGTTCTGGTGTAGGTAATAATTTTTTATTTGGGGGAATTAAGCAAGAGGATTGGACCTCTCCGCGCCGCTCTGCGGACGCCCCTTTTTCTGGTATATACATTGCTACTCCAAACCAAGAACACAGATAGTTCGTGAAATTACGTTTGGTCAACTCGGCTACGCGCCCGGCTGACCGCTTGCAAAACCCTTCATGGCTGCGCGAATTTCTTCGCGAATTGCCGTCTTCCAATCGAACGGTTCTGCCGTCGCGGCAGGAGCTTCATTGAGCGATGCGAGTGGTGTGAATGTATTGGTAGTGGGAACTACCGGGGTTTCTGCGGCTCGTACTTGCTGAGCTTGTTGCCTATTAGGGCAATTGCGCGAAAGATGTCCCTTTTCTCCACATCGGAAGCAGAGGCCCAAGCGTCGTGCTTGGTCTAGCTCCATTGGCTGGCCTCTACCGCCGAACGTGACACCTGTCCCATCGCGGCATGTTTGAACCAGGGCGTTTGCAATTGGCGCAACTACGTTAGCCAGCGTTCGTGGTGCACTTTGTGCCTGCTGCTGCCGAGGTTGGAATTGCCCTTGTCGTTGGGACTGCGGATTTTGCCTACGGTACTGCTGCTGGTTTAGGTCGATGCGTGCGACCCACAGCTTATAGAGCGCGTATGTGGTGGGGAGTTCTTCCGAAGAGTTGTATAGGAGCCGAATGATGTTGGCCTGTAGTGCCTTTTCCAGTAGTGATTTGAGTTCCTGGAAATGTGCTTCGAAATCGTGGATATTTGCCTGAAAGGCGCACAACTCGAATTTTGAGAAAAACTCCTGTGCTGACAGCATTCCCATTTGCATTGCTTGAAGCCGGTCGTATGCTTCGGCTTGTTCGTCGATTAAGAAATGCTTGTCTAGATCTTCCCACAGTGTTTTTGTGGTTTGTATTACAGCATTCTCGTCCATGTCATACTTCTTCATAAACGTGGCTACGTATTCGCCAGCGTGTCCTCCTTTCATGTAGGACAGAATCATAAAGACTCTGTCAAATTGCTCCGGTAATTGCTTCCTTTGCATGACTACATAGAGTTTCATCTGCGTTTTCCAAGCGATGTACTTGGATTTCGTGCCGTCGAAGGCATCTGATTTCATCGCACTTCCATTGAGGAGCGCGGCACTGTCTTGATTGTCGGCCATCGCGCCGGAATCAGATGGAGATGAAGGTGGAGTGGGAGATCGTCGGGACGGCGGGTCCGAGGCTTCCGAATCTTCTACTGCTTCTTCTACGGGGTCTGGTGGACCCTCTGGAGGTACTTCGGATTCTCCGAGAGCAATTGAGCAAAGGTGATCGGTGACTGACTCAAGGGTATCTCGTCTGGTTCTGGGTTCTGAACCGGATGCTACGGGTTGCGGGACTGCGAGGGATTCTGAAGGTGCTCCTGTGGGAATTCTCTGTACTAATTCCCTGCGTAGTCCTTCTCTACACCGAGGACAACGATTGCTATTATTCAGAGAATGCGGGCAGGGCTGTTGCGCGCAGTATCGTAGATTGTCACCGCGTATGTAAATGGGTCTTCCTTCTAGCTCTCGATGTGTATGTCCTCTACAATCACAAGAGGGCGTGGTCATGGGATGTCGGGTCCGTGGAGCTGGTTGCAGCAAGCCCTGGGACTAATCGTGTTGTAACAACCAGATCAGGGATAGAGTTTGCCAAAGATAAGAATTTCTGAAAAAGAACCGATACGCTATTTTAATACAGTTCTAGGAATAGTATAACAGCCCAAAGAGCGATTGCTTCTCTTCGGTCCGACGCCCAGAAAGGGATCGTCGATCTAACTGTTATCGCTTTTCCGACGCCTGGCCGCAATCGGTTGCCACGTCGTACTCAGGAATATCTGCTTGCCTGCTGCAAAGCGTGTAACGCCGCCTATAGTAGGGCAGGGTACAATTCCAATTGGACGGAGCTCTGTCTAGCCGCCTAAGGGCTAGTGATTACAGAGGTGACTTCGGGGATGTGATGTGGTAAAGTTTGTGCAAGTGCACGGAGAAAGGTTCCAGGGGTCCGGGTCTTGATGCGATAGAATTCGGTAGGGTTAGGAGTTAAGGTGAGAGTCAGATATGCGTGTAGGGTGGATCGTCGTGTGGAGATAGGTGATGGTTGGTGTGGGAGTGACGAGGATCGTCGTAGGGCAGTTGGGGGAGACTCAAGCTAATGTCAGCAACTAACAATCCAACTGGACTGAGCTACAACAAAGCTGAGGAGAACGACGAGAGGAATGTGAGTGAGGAAAGACCAGCTCGAGTCTGGCTTGTTATTGAGCAGTACGAGCTCCTTATATACATGTCAGACTGAATATCTAGAATATCCTACAAATATACGGAGGTGTATAGAAAGTAAAAGAATACCATGGAATCCGGGAGAACCATCCGGAATATGTAATATTCATGACACTGTCAGAGAAGTAGAAACCGAAAAAGAAAATTTTCCATGCCTCTCGCATGGGTTATGCATGGGCATACTCTGAGTGCATGCACGCAATGTCTCCGTCGAGAGCGCCTGTCACAGCACTTGAGCTCGAACCCTGATCCTTCAACGAGTGCTGTCCAAGTTGCGAGTGCGCCAGGCGGTAATCGTGGAGTCCTTTCAAGTGGAGGACATCTTACTCAACATCTTTCTCGACAGCCGTTGCGTCAGCCAGCTCGGGGACGACACTGACACAGAAGGTGGGGTGCGAAGACGTTGCGCTCAGAGTCATGAACAATATCCAGAGACGCCACATTGTTAGTTACACATCAGTCAGCACAGGGTGGTAAGCGCAGTTTTTTCTCGAGAAAACTTAGGCAAAGGTGGCTAAACAAGGCCCAGTTATTCCTCGATTTCACGCCAATGCAAACTGAGGAGAAACTGGTGCAAAACCAGCCAAAAAGGTCTGAAACACAGTAAAACTGGCAGAAAACTGAGTTTTGCCTTCAGTTTTTCTCAGGTGAAAACCGGAGAAAGTTGGGGCCTTGTTGAATCAATTTTTGGCTGATCCCATGCCGGAAAAAAGTGCGCTTACCACCCAGTGCAGGCTTGTGGAAAATAATCCTAGAACAGGCGCAACATATGGCCGCATCCAGAATAAGGCTGAGCTAACGCTCTTCACCGCGGACTCCGTGTGTTGGCAATCATCCCGTCAACTCTACGTCGTCGACAACAATGCGCACTGGCCACGGTCCAATCGATGTTTCTGGACAAGACCGAAGTTAGATCAAGGCAAATATCGAGTCAAAGTACATAGCGCGTCTAAATATTGACCGCTATATTATTCGCTATTTTCAGCGCAGTCTGGCGCCAGTTCGTTGTGCGTCTTGGGCGGATTTGCCTCCGGTCGCCACCCCGGTTTTTTGTGGGCTGGCCTTTTGTACCTGCATCAGGATGAGACCTATTGGGGATTATATGCAGGTGGTCATATTGTAAGCATTGTCGACGGGGAGGTCTCGAGGTCGGGCGAACGGAGAACGGTTCAACAGATGAGTACGAGCCAACTACACCAAGCATATATCGTAGGTAAAAGATATCTCGTCGACCCAGAGAAGACCAAGAAAGAAAAGAGACGAAATGAAGAGAGAGAATGAAAAAAAAAACAATGGCAGATGGAGGAGATGGTCGGAAAACAGAGGACGAAAGGGACAACGCGACAAGTGAGCGTGAAGAACAGGAGTCAATGAGGAGCGTCGGATCATAGGAGATTCAAATCGTCTTCTTGCGGGCTTGATGCGCTTCCGTAAGTAATGAGTCTAAACCTGTTCCGGCTACCACCAGGACTCCTGCTCGCGAACCTGAATCACTATACAACACATCCCTGTCGTGCGCCTTCTGGCTTTTACAACCAGAGCTGTGCGTGCTGTGAGTACAAAAGCCTGCGCGGTGCTCGCTGCACCCCGAGCGACGTCTATATGAGTTAGCGGCCACTCCAGTCCGTACGCGGTAACACGGCCGACTCATCTGCCCGCCGTCTGCAACTCTTAGGGTTCTCCACACTAGACGTTCCTCAATCTACGATATCAATCTCTCCCGTAAGCGTTTTCTACCCAGCCTTTCGTCTCTTTGTAATTGGCGGACTGCTTCTCTTGCACCTCCCACCACCATCTCCAGAAAGCCTTAGGCACGGTGGCGGCGCATTCCAAGAGTCTGTGGCTTGTCCATAAATTCTACCGCGAGGGCGTTCCTCGAGGGCCATTAGATGAACCCCGCTCAGGTCACGTGAGTGTTCATTTCACTTCGATGCGTCACCCGTTCTCAAGAGACTCGACAGCTATGGCCCAGTTCTTATTGGCGCTTTCCTGAACGTGTTTCTGTTCGGGATTGCGGCCGCTCAAATTCTCCATTATTTTACAACATATAAGAAGTGCGTATCCCGTACGTCTCTTGACGCGTTTGTCCTGACTTGCTCCGCCAGGGATTGCATCTGGATAAAGGCATACGTGCGTCTCACGACACTGTGGCTGCCTCGATCATTACAAAGCGTACCTCTAGGTTGTCGTCCTGGCAGTGGCCGATCTGCTCAACTCAATCTTCGACATCTATTGGCTATACGCCGATCTCGTCACGAATTTTGGTGAGCAAGTTCGCGCAGTGTACATTCAATGACGCATGCGCTAACGTCGCCCCGCAGGCAATGATGCCAGTATCAACGTCGCGGACTGGCGTAAGTGTGCTCGACATCGTCTATCTCCGAGAGGGAGCGCTCACAGCCGTCGTTGGTAGGTGTCGCCACCAACCCTGCGATGATCGTGCGTGTTTAAATTCACGCTGCGCAATCGGCGTGGCAGCTCACCGCAACACAGGCGATCATTGCTATCTATGTGCAGCTTTTCTTCGCATGGAGAGTGCAGGTGCTCACCAATAGCTGGTGTGTCACTGGGCTAGTTGTCCTGACCGCCGTCGTTTCCTGCTGTGAGTCTCAGACCCCACTACCAAAGATACGTCGAAGTTCATCTTAAGCGTAGGTGGTGGTCTCGACGCTGCAGTTACCATCCATCACGTAAAGTACTACAGCAACTTCTACAAATTAGATCCGGCTGTCACGGTCTGGTTGATCTCTACGGCTTTCTGCGACTCTGCGATTGCTATTGCGTTGACATGGCATCTCGTGAGCCGACGTTGCGGCGAACTGTAGGAACTTTGGATGCTAACATCATCTCAGAGACGGCACAAGAAGGGTTTTCAGCATACTGACGAGATTGCAGGCAAGATTATTCGATGTGCGTAGCAGGAGATGTCTCCAGATGCGCCTACCGCTTATGCTTGTGGCAGATACTCTTTCAAATGGAGCTGTTACAGCCATCTGGGCAATAATTGATCTCGTCTTGTTCTTGAGCGTTGTAAGTTTGCATAGTCGTTCCAAAGTGCCATAGTTGTGTTGAGTGATACCATTCAACAGCGAACAGGAGTGCAAGTGACGAGCTACTTGCCGCAGATTTTTTGTTTGCTGATGTATAGCTTGTAGCCACCTCGCATTTAACATGCCGCTTCCCAAGCTCTACACCAGCTCTCTTCTGTCGAGTCTTAATTCGCGCGCCGGGTGGGAGTTCAAAACCGAGCCGAACGGTGACGCGCAGAAACCGGATCAGGCTGTTAAGGTACATCTACCACGCCACGTCTCGTATCATGATACACTGGCTCACTTATCACAGAGTGCGGCCATGCCTGAGTTCCTCCATCTATCGACGCACGCGGCATCATACCATGAGGTACAATTTCTCCGGCCCGCATCACTTGACATCCTGGAGACTGACGACACAGAGCAGGCCATTGCGCACGTTGAGACGCACGAGATGGATAGTGACGTTATGTGGCCCGACGAGCGTACTTCCGCGCCCGAGAACAAGGTGGGCGATGTGGCGTAGCCCTGCACCTTTCTCTCGCCAGCATTCACCTTTGTTCTCTCTGCTATATCGTAGGATACTCTATAGCTGGAATTGTCGCGTCTTGTCTCTATAGATTTTGGCATTTTGTGCGTGTATATCATACAGTCGGTGTCACTAGCCACCCTTTGTAATTACAGCTTTTCATCGCTCCCATGACCGTAGACGTCAGCTCTCTAGCACTATCTTACATTGTAATAATACATTGCGTTCCGCTGAAGAGTGCGCTTGGCTACATATCGCCCTGTCCCGAAACGAGAGATGTCAGGAATAGATGGACATAACACGCGGTACGGGGTACTCCAGTCTTAGTGAAGGTATTTATAGCTTAGCCTCAATGTCAATGTATACATGGTCCAGAAAGCGGACGTCCATCCGTGACCAATGATTGGAATTACTTAAGAACAAGTTAAGAATAAGTAATGAGCGACGTAGATGTGCAGGTATATACTACAGTGCAGGGTGTCTTATGTCCGCTGAATCCAAATAGTATAGTACAAATACACAGGGTTCCATGTCCGCGGGGAAAGGAGTGGCATATATACGTAGCGCATAGGACATACGGTGGACATAGTAAAGCATAGAGTATGCCGATTTCATGATAGGAGCAGCAGTGAAGAAGCCAGGAACACTAGTAACTGTTCAGTCAGGCTCCATTCCAAAATGGGCATATATGCAGAACCCACCTTTAATGAAACAGCCTTGACCTGAGCGACCTGTGTATGGGTGGGAGACCAGATCCGCGGAGACCGGTCGTGTCGATGGTTAGATTTGGCTTAGGCGAGGCTGCAGGCTGGATCTTGGGAGCTTGAGAAGTCTGCTTCTCGTCGACCTCTGTTGCGAGCGGCCTCTCCTTGACCCTTTCAGTGGGTTTTGTGGCAGTGTGTCCCCTCTTGTGACTCTTCCAGGCCTTCCTGCATCTATGGGATTTGATAGTCGCATCAGGGGCACTAGTAGTATTGGCGCAGAAAATAGTACTTACAATCTGAAACAGTCGTAGGCAAGGACGAAAGGCAACCGGACGATCATCCAGCAGCCGGCTGACAGGCGTCCTCAGCTTCGTTCACACAGAAAAGGGCGTAAAACAGCTACTCACCCGCCGTTAAACAGGCCACTATCCATCCAGCACCGAGTACAAATCCAATCGGCCAGAGCACAACTAGATAAACCAGTCGATTGACGTTCAACGAAGCGATGGTAGACGTGATGCGCATACCATACAGGGTGTGCCCCAGCAGGGAGAGGAAGAACGAGTCACTACCCCGCAGGCTGCTGATGATGCTTCTGTTCAGATTATCAGTGACCAGATACTCCACAACAGGTGTATTAGCAACTCACCCCATGGATGAAGGTACGAGGTTGTGCGGGTGTCGAGGTCTGAAGGGGAAGCTGGTAAGAAATACGCATCTGGATATCCGCCGCCATTTATACGGGTAGTTTAGAGCAGCCAAATCCATCATTGGTGGAAGCTGTAGTGGCTGTCTAGAATGTGGCACAGATAGAAATCCAGATCTCAGGCTGTGCAACCCAGCTCTATGACGAGCGGTGTATATTGGGACAACGTGATGTCCTAAACGGACCTCTGCCAAGTACAAAAGGTCAGCGGCTGCGCAGTACGTGTATACACAGCATACATCGCGTTGTCTTCTTGACAAATGATAAGTGCGTTCTCTGCAGTTTTTTCATACAATACCGTCGCTAAGCGGGTGGTTGTCAGCACGAAATCTCATTCTGATCACGGTACGCCAGCACGACATACCCAAAAGGCTTGAGACAAGTGCGACAATAGAAGGTAGCCGTCGCAAGACAGTAATAAGCTCGCCAATAAATCATCGCTTCTCACCTCTAATTGAAAACTATGTGCCACATGAACAATAAATAGCGATCTTGACGAGGTCCTGGGTGATGGTGGTCGAGCCTGGAGTCGTTACTTCGGAGATATCTGCCCGGGAGATCCCAGAAACCTATGTTTGAGTTAATGGGTCCTAAATTCTGCAGGTAGATGCCGTGGGGTTCGACAGATGCTGAGGCACCGCGTCGTTTGCGATGCGCACAAGGCTGTGCTGAAGCAGCCCTGTGCCGCACTCGCATTGAGGTGACAGCCGCCATCTGATGCGCTCTTCTCCAGATGTGGACGGGGCGGACCTGGAGCAAGTCAGACGCCCGCCTGCTGTGCCTTCGAAGTGAACCTTCACCTTCCTGTCGTGCCTCTGCTCTTCTGTCGTGTATTGCCTTACGACAAGCCTCACGCCAGTCACGAACACGTTCAACGTTTTATCCATTGCCTTCAGAGCCTTCCGGTCTGTCGAAGACACTCGCCAAGCGGCTGAAGACTACTGGCACTTGTATTTTGGAAGTAGCTCAGCATGAACTCCGTTATCAACTCTCGACCAGCGTCGGCACCCTACATTGCTACAACATGTTCCCAATGTCAGACTGCTCTTGAATTCCCCGCGCCATCGCCCGCGCCGCGGCAGGGGACAGTCCTCGACGTTCGGTGTTACCATTGCCAGTGCATTTTTTCACATACCTTCTATCCGTCGCAAGTAATCGGCGAAACGCCCGGTCAACCTGCCGCGACGAGGTCAAATTCCAACGCTGGCTCCACCCAGGATTTTGCCAGGAAGGGCCGGAAGATTGGCACAGATGCGAAACCACTGGAGACTGGATATTATGACCTGCTCGGTGTTCCGATAGACGCGACGACGGATGATATCAAGAGGGCTTACCGTGCGCGGTTTCCGATCCTCCTTTCTACTCAATTCTGAGGCTCTCTCGCTTAGGACGGCTCGCTATCAAGTTCCATCCTGACAAGAACCCAGACGATCCGCATGCGGAGGAACGCTTCAAGGAGATCGCGATTGCGTACCAGACACTCTCCGATCCGGCGTTGCGCAAGAAGTACAATGAATTTGGCTCGAAGGAGTCGCAACCGGAAGGCGGCTTCGTCGACCCCGAGGAGGTCTTCGGCGCCATGTTCGGCGGCGAGCGGTTCATACCCATCATAGGCCACATAAGCCTAGCGAAAGATATGAAGGCTGCACTGCAGGAAGCCGACGAGGAGGGCGAGGAGAACAGGCCCGTGCAGAGGGACGCGAAGGGTCGCGAGATTGTGTCACCAGAAGAGAAGGCGAAACGAGACGAAAAGGCGCGCAAGGTGGCGGCTGAGGTGCGTGTGGATCTCTTTGTCGTCCCCATGAGAGAATACACACGAATTTCCAGAAAGCGGCGGTCAGGAAAGAGCGCGTTGACAAGCTCGTGGAGAACCTCGAGCGTAAACTGAGCCTTTTCGCGGAGTCTGCGACAGGTCCGAATGACCCTGCGGTCACTCAGAGTTATAAGCAGATATGCGCTTTGGAGGCTGAGTACGTTCTCCCTGCTTGTGCGTTGTGATCAAAGACTAACAGGATGCCCTAGGGAACTCAAGAAAGAGTCATATGGCCCCGAGCTTCTGCAGGCCATCGGCTTCGTATACATCGCCAAATCGAAGCACTTCCTTGCATCAAGTCAGACTTTGTTCGGCATAGGTGGTTGGGTACACAACGTGCAAGGCAAATACCACGTCTTCAGTGAGACGTAAGTGAGCAAATTCTCCACTCCATGGGTGCGTATTGACGGAGGACAGTGTGTCAACATTACGATCCGCTATAGAGCTCAAGCAAGTTTTTGAGCAGATCCAGGCGGCTGAGGCGGCTGGTAATCTCCCTCCAGACGAGAAGAGGCGTCTTGAAGAGCAAGCAGCTGAGAAGGGTGTGCAGGCATTGTTCAAGGTACGCATATTATGGGATAAATCTTGGAGAATATAGCTAACCGTCCCCCTATCAGGGCACGAAACTCGAGATTGAGTCCGTATTGCGTGAAACGTGCGATCGCGTTCTCGAGGATCCATCCATTTCCCGCGCGAAGGCAACGCTCCGTGCAGTCGCCATGCAGATCCTCGGAGAGGCATTCATGAGCGTGAAGAAGGACGCAGACCAAGTCGAGGGCGCGAGCGAAGAGAACGAATATGTGCGCGTTGAGACGAAGAGCAGCCGGAAGCGTGACTCACAGCGCTCTGCGAATGCATAAGCCTCTTCATTTCCCGCTGCTTGTCCTGCCATACCGTCCCTCTACGCATCTTGGAAATATCGCACACATCACGACCTCTTGCTGCATATGCTCTTGCAACCTCTCATACATCCAATGTATTCCCATCACGTCAACTGCTACAGTGTACATTTTGCATATCTATCACGATAAATTACCACAGGCTGCTCATGCAGCGGGGGTGGGGTTCGGGTCCTCTTTTGCCAGCTCTGCAGCGGCCTCCTGTACAACCTCTTGAGATGGTGGTGCTGGGACAGGTGCTGCACCGTCCTCTGCCGGCTTTTGGGCATTCTTGCCCTTGCCCGGTGGCGGCGGGACGTACTTCTTCACCTAGAAGTCATTCAGTAGATAATCTCCCGAAGGACAGGACGAACGCACCTTCTTGACCTTCTCAGGCTTTGCGTTCGGGTCGGGGTACGCAAGCTTCTCAACAGTCCTCCACTCTTCGCTCTTCTCAAATGCTTCACGGATAGGTGTGAGCAGCCGAACGATCGCATCTGCAACGGCAGTTTTGAGGTCCTTGGGATGTAGCTTCCTCTCTGCGAAGTCTTTTTTGAGCTCGCCGAAGTCCTTGTAGTGCAGCTTGCCGCCATACTCTTCCTTTCGAAAGACCGAGAACACCGCGCCTTCGGGCGCACCCTCGAGGACGAACGGCGTCTGGTCACCGGTCGCTTCCCGGCCCTCCTCAGAGTCGGCGCCGGTGTTGCCACGGGCGCGCTCGAGGCGCAGCTGGCTAATCGGGATGAGCACGGCCTCCACGAATGACAGCACGCCGTTCTCCTCCGTATTTCCCTCCTCGCAAAATGCAGACTTGATCTTCCTGCGCACGACCTCTGGGGGGTCGAGGAAGTCAATTTTGGAGTTCGGATCCGACGAGGACATCTTGCCGCCACCCAGACCGGGGACCATGGGGTTCATCAGGTGTGCACGTTTCTTGTAGCCCAGGCGCGGGAGGTAGAGTTCAGCAAAGGTAAAGATCTTGCGCTGCGGAGGATATGAGTCACGAGTAGAAGACTAGGGCTGGAGGGCGCACCTGGTCAACACCACCGAACTGGAAGTCACAACCCAGGTACTGCTCATCCAAAGCCTGGAGACCGGGGTACAGCAAACCACTCAACAACGGGCTCTCAACCTGCTTCACGACCTCTGCGCCAGCCTTCTTCGCATCATGTTCAGTGACAATGGCGCACAGGCGGTAGTTGTCGAGATTGTACTCCTTAGTGAGTTGGTAAGACGAACCCTCTACGAACTTCAGCTTATTTGTGGGGATGCCTAGCGACTTGAAGACGGTTAGAAGAACAAATTGATAGTATTTTGTGCGGTGTGCGACAAGTTCGAGAGGTGCTTTGAGATTGTCGAGGAAAGCATGCACATCTGAAAGCAGTTGATCATCATGAAATAGCTGAACAACAAATAGTAAGGCTGCACCGTACCAGCAAGGAGGATAGTGACCTCAACACCTGCACGCAAGAAATCCGCGATCTTGGTCAAAGGAACAAAGTAGCCGATATGAGCTGTAAAGCCGTGTCTATTATACCCTCCGCCTCACTTAACACTTGCAAAGCATGGTTCACGTACGTCGTCCCGTCGGCGCAGTACCTGAAATCATCGAGGTTACTTCCGTCCGTGTAAAACTCGAGAACAGTTGTGTGACCTACCCCAGTAGCACTTCAGTGTACGACCCTCGGCCAGGACAGTCTTGATGATCTCGCCACCGAGCACCTCCTGCAGACTGCGGGTAACAAGCTCATATTTGGCCTCCAAGTCGGTCATCGTGGTACAGTTGAAAGGTGGGGGCGGGATCGAACAGCAATCTGCAATGACTCGGACTCGAGCCTGCGAGAAATTCGGTCAAAGGCGCATCAGTTGATCGGATCATGGACTCAGCCGAAGATCTCCCGTCTGTTGAACTCATCCCTTCAGCTTTGTCACGTTTCTTTAACGCGGTACAACCACTTTTATAAATTCCGAGACAGCTGATACATGAGAGTAGACAAAGATGCATTATTTTATAATAATGGCCGGTCTACGCTCGACGACCGTGAGAATCCCGCGTCACTTAACATTTCATCACTCTGTTTCTTCTGGGTCTTACCACCTCTATCTCGAGAATGTCATTGGAGAGGCTGCTTCGCCAGTCAGAAAGTAACGATTCTTCGCTGACGCAAATGGATTGGCTACCTGTGTCAGAAAGCAAAGGTGGTGCAGCCTGAGGGTGAGTATGGGCGATTCACCGTGACCAGATACTATCATGCCAGGGTGTTTGAGCTAATGATACCCCAGGCCATTCGACAGCTTCTTAGAAACATCACATGGGTGCGATGCACAAGCGCACACGTCCTGTAGTGCTCCACTCTCGACATCAGCTTTTACATGCAGTGTACTTACGACCAGTCCGGCGGGAAGCGCCCAAATTATTTTCTCCGATGACTCCCCAAAATCGCTATAAATCGAGAAAACGTTATTGGAGGGGTCAGCGGAAAATCGGTGTGACGCGTGACCGCCGGACTGGTCGTACAGGTACAGTAATGCTAGTTTCGATGGAAGAATAGTCATAAGTAAACGTATACTGAGCCTCATTCTCGACACAAATTAGAGCTAGTGATGTGCGGGCCCGGCTTGGGCTCAAAGCCCGGGCTTGGGCTTGTGGCGACGTCGAGCCGAGCCCTGAGCCCGAGCCGAGCCTGAGCCCGGCCCAAGCCGTGGGCTTAAGCCCGGGCTTGCCAAGCTTAGGATAAGTATTTGTATGCTACAAAAGTGAGCATATTTGCATGTGATAGGCTACTATTGCATGTACTCACCGTACTTCAGCCTCCAGAGGGCATGCGACCGCGCTACGAGCCATGTTATGACAAGGTTCGCGAAGGGGCGCCTACGGAGAACGCCAGGCGGCGGCGCACAATCGCGCTTAGTCACACTAGCAGGGATCGCCTCGTCTGGTAAGTCAACGTTTTGTCTCATATGCATATATAAAGTCGTTCTTACCATGTTTTGAGCCCAGGGAACGGCAACACATTTGGTGCACCCAAGCCTGGGCTTTCGGGCCGGGCTCAGGCTTGACTTCATCTCAAGCCCGGCCTTGAGCCCGCTGCCAGGCCTGGCTTGGGTCAGGCTTTTTTGGGCCGGGCTTGACGGGCTTGTGGGCTTTGAGCCGAGCCCGCACATCACTAAATTTAGAGCTGACGCAATCAGAAGACAGAGCTCAATGCTTCTTTGAAATATGAGTTCCATGGTGTTATTAGCCATCAAATTGCTCGTAGCAGCTGCTATTGTTGTGCAACACTTTGCCTTGTTTTGTGGGCAGATCTGCGAAGACGATGTCATGGCATGAGCACCTGTTCGGCCGTATTGTCAATTCAATGACAACTACACGTGGTTAGACTCTATGGCCCTTCTCTTGTTTCCACTAGGATCTTTGGGCTCTGTCATGGCCACACCTGTGCAGTTAAGTACCCCCGTCGTCGGAAGCCTGAGTGGCACTCCTGTGAAAACGTTATATCACTATATTCCAATGGGGTCAGTTGTTATATTTTTCCACATTCCTAATACTCATCAGCTCTAAATCCTAGTGCGGTCATCAGCGTTGTCATCGGTATCATCCTTGAGGTTGCATATGTTGTGTCCGCTATTTTAGGAGCTGTCCTGTGTACGTCGCTGTTCCACTAGTACTTTGTCACGACCGCAGTCTGATATCATGAAAAGGGGCTGCAGAATGCGCATTTTGGACTGTGGTTTGTCCTTTAGAGTGCCTCAAATGTGAGTGACCTTATTTTGCGATCATGTATGTAGTTATCAACTTTCGTGTTCCAGCTTGTTCCGACATGATTGTCGCATCAACTATTTCGTCGTAACCCGATATGCAGTCGCTGCCAGGGATAGGTCATGGGTCACCTGATGCGTTACATGTTCTTAGTTATGTAATTCATGCGTTGTGATTCATGCGTTGTAGCTTGAAACGCGGCTTAGTTCCACGAGATAGGCTCGGCAGGCCGAGCTTTCACACTCTGAAAATCGAGGTTGGGTTGGGGTGACAGGCTGGTGACATGATTGATTTCCTTCAAGGATTGTCTTGTTGGGCGCCGCAAATTACCCCGCTCCCTGAACTGCTAGCCTCGCGAGCTTTTTGCATATAAAGCCATATCCAGTGAATGCTGAACAGTAATTTTATTCGCAAGGCCATGACTCTCACTCCGCTGCCCTCTCTCGCAATCTCGAAGCTATCGGAACAAAATCAGCGACGCATTTGCAGGTTGCTGGCGCATAGGCCGCCAAGCATTGACCTGTGAGTCTGCTGCCTCCACTGCCTTCAATGTGACTCACCCAGCAGTTTCAGACGGAAGTATTCCTCTACGCGGCAGGCTGCCGTGCTCATCTTGCTCTTCGAGACAGAGGGAGAGCTTAGGGTGCTCTTGACGACTCGCGCGAAGACTCTGCGCACGCACCCTGGTCAGACGGCTTTACCCGGGGGCGCAAAAGATGACAGCGATGCCAGTTTAGTTGACACTGCGGTCAGTGCAATCTTCTGATCTCCTGACACTGGCTCAATGTTTCCCAAGTATCGTGAGGCCATGGAAGAAGTAGGCTTGCCACTGGATCATCCGAACGTCCATACGTTATGTTTCCTCCGGCCTTTTATTGCCTGGACCCGGTCATTTGTGCTCGTGACGCCCGTCGTAGCACTTTTAACAGATCCTTCTGTTCTCTCGAAACTCCGACCTGCAGAAGCGGAGGTGGATTTAATTTTCGATCATCCGTTGTTTGCCCTCCTCGATCCATCCACGAGCAAGTCGGAGCCTCTCGTGGCGTTGAATAGCGAGCTATGGCCGTCTAGCGATCCCTGCTATGTAAGCACCAGGCATATTATTGCCAATGAAACTTCTGACTCCCATAATTGCAGAACTACGCCGACAGCCAATGGGCATGGATGGGGAATTCTACATACAGGCTGCATCGATTCCGGACAGCGGCAGCAGCGATCAAGGGTCTCACAGCAGATGTTCTGGTCAGTAGAGATATTATGTGATATACAAAATTGGCCTGCGCTGGATGCGTCAGAGCGGTTCAGTAAGTGACGGGAATGGAGAGTTATAGATGCTTTAGCTTTAACATTAAATACTGACTCTTTATCGCATAGGAGGCCTCTTGGATCCCGGTTGACGCCGCGGCGCGCACAGCAGTCGACATGCTCCGCTCGTCAGGTTCCGGTTTCTCAACGTACCACCTCGCGCACCCGCGGCCCGTGCATTGGCGCACACTGTTTGCGCCGATTGCGCAGGCTCTCGGGCTGCAGTCCGTCACCTACGAAGCGTGGCTGCAACAGCTCAGAAACAGCAGCGAGCGGTCCAGGCGCATGGCGCCCGACCGGGAGGTTGAGGAGCTACAGCGCAACCCCGCACTCAAACTTATCGAGCACTTCGAAGAGATGCATGCCGGCGGCGCGAAGGGCGGTGACGAGGCGTCCGAGGTGACGCGAGAGGCGCTCGGCTTGCCGAAGCTTTCTGTGGCTCGGGCAGTACAAGTAGCTCCCTCGCTAAGCGAGGAGAATCTCCCACAGCTCACAGCGAAGGACGCCATGCAATGGGTGCAGTACTGGAAGTCAATACAATATCTGCAGTAATGTGCGCTTTCTGACATGGACCATACTGAATGGAATGTACCTGTACACTTCACTAATTGTGCGCACAATCCGAGGCAAATACATACTCTGTTGAGATAGTGTGTAATTATGCTTCATCTCACAGATGAGATCACTCACCTTGCAGTGTCAACTTTCAAGCATTTTTCGCATTCTGTGCGGAGGCTATCTTCTCTTCACGTTTAACAGCAGCCCATGCTAAGGCAGCTCCAGGACCTCCGACGATGCTGATGAAGAGCATACGGAAGGCCCAACTTTCGATACCCATCGAGGGAAACCCTGTTCGCATATGGAGATGGGACCGCGCAAAGAATGTCAGGATAGCAATGGTCATGATAAGCCAGTCGTGCTGGAAGAGCAGTCGGCTGCATGGTCGATATGCAGCCAGCGAGCCGGCAGGTAGCGAGATGGGAAGGTATGGGTGTAGCCAGAATGGGATGAAGATGTTCGCGAAGGAATGTGACGACTCGGTCGTGAATAGAGATGGCACGAAGACGTACAGGTGCGCCCAGGCCGCAATCAGGCCGCAAGCATAGTACGACCGGCTGAGCCAGATGAGTACTCGCGATGCATCCTGGTGAGGGCCTGCAGATGGGCCGAAGGCAGATAAATCCACTTTGCGGAATAAGGCCCAGAATGCAGCAATGTAGAGTGGAAACGGCTGCCATGCTGCCGAAATCTTCTGGACAGTGTCTAGGGACACTCCCTTTGGCGGAAAGACCAAGAACCACGAAGGGACGAGATATCCCAAGATGATGGCTGGTAGTATGGTTTTCACTCTTGTAAGCGCGTCTGCGGGTAGGAGCGTCGGTATACTGGATATGTTGTGAATGTGAGATACGAAGTACGCGGGTAATGTGACTCCGGCTGTCAAGAATTGCGCGAGGATGCACACGAAGGTAGGCCTGAAGAGCTTAGCGACCTTGAGCAGTCGAAGATGAGCGCGTCGTGTACTCACCAGGTCGCCAAACCCGACTTCGCCCTGCCCGCCTCCCAGTACGTAAACAACAAGACGGTGCAGAGCTGTGGTAAGAACCACAGGCAGAACAGGTGGGTCGCTTCGTCGTTTCCATCTACTGCTGCCCCGAACACACCTCCGTACACCATGAATATGAAATCCAAGGGTACAAAGCCTGTGTAGAATCGTCGCAAGGGGAGGCCATCAGGCAACCATCCCGTCTTCCATGCGCTGGCCGCCGTGGGTATGAGAACAAGCGACGAAGGCGGTATGATGAAGATCAGTACGACGGCAAGGATACATAAAGACCACAGAAAGCTGGTGGCAGGGACTTTAGGCGGCATGGTGTACGTTGAACTGGGAGTGCAAGCCTGCAGCAGAAGATATACGGTCTGTTCGCCGACCGAGGGGATCGTACGAGGAACGTCAGAAGAAGTGTCGCCTGAGCATAGCCTATTTATGCTCAAGCTCTGGTCAGGATTTTCGACGAAAACCGAGATATTTTGTTTGAAGCGGAAGCGCGTGCTGGAACATAAAGATACGTAGGTAGGTAGCGGTTGTGAGTCTTAGAGATAGGGTTACGAAGGCAGAGGCAGTGCAGGGGTCCCTCCAAAGCGCCAAGACATTAGGGACCCCGCCGACTCCGGACCGTTGGCCGTAGAGTGGTACTCCACCACCACAAGACCGACCACCTCCTACTCCAAAGATACGGGCCTCATAACAACATTGCCGTCAGAAGTTGCAACAGGTCCTCGGTTATTCCACTTGTTGAATGCGGCTGTGTCTAATGCATCTAAAGTGCTTTTGAGGTCGGCAAACTGTCCAGGAGCATACCACTCGAACGATGGCTGCCGGTCGAAGGCTATAGAAGCGGTCAAGATCTGATGAGGCTTGTTAGAGAAAATAAACCTGGTGAGGCTAGCAGGTAAGTAATCACCCACAACATCCCATTTACTTCAGTATTGTGAAGCTTGAAAAATGAAGTTGAAGGGCGATACTATGTTGCACCAGCTCAGCAGGTATTACGCATCGACTGTGCCAAGAGGTCGTCGAAGCCGGCGCAGTCGACATTGCAAAGCTCAGCCGGAATATTCCGGGCGAACCTCGATTTGGCAGAGACTGAGCTTCGCTTTTTTTGAAGTCCGACGGGGTCTCCTCTCAGCCCCGACGCAACTTGACGAGGAATTAACCACACTTGCGCCAGAACTTTGCTACTTAGCTCGCTCGTCCCCCTCAAAATAGCTGCTACAGCCTTGCACCTATTCTACATCAGAACCGGCGCGTCTTCCGACAAACCATCGAGGACTACGAATACTGGATGGCGTCCGACCTCCGCCGGGGCAGAGCTCAGAGAGGGTAACCTTCCAAATGCGGCAGGAGCTAGCACCAAAGCGAATATTCTGCCAGTACGGCAAAGTGCTGCTGCTATCGCCTGAGATAGGTGCACGAGAGACCCGCATATCACTCGCCGGAAAAGGCAACGCCATTGTGGCGTTTTGATAGTCGAACTGGGATGACGGCGACCGCCTGGACACCGTAGGACGTACACGTGACGTACACCAGCACGTCATTGGAGGCAAAATGTAGTATGGCCTGGCTGGAAAGCGCTGCGAAGAACTCTTAACTCACGCTCGCTGCTGGCCAGCACTGTCCGAAAACGGCAAGTCTACGTTTCGCGTCTACTACCGGACGGATTCTGGGTGCAAAGTGCATGCGACTAACGACGTGGGATGACTATAGATACATTAAGTATATGCTGCGAATTCTATGGCTGAAGAAAGATCTTGTGGATGCGTCTATGGATCGTGAGATGCGTGAAAAATGTGCGTACGCGCGTGAACGGAACAATGAAGTAAAACCGAATAACGATAATGGGGCACGGACTCATGCCTTTCTCACCGGCACCTCGCGGATCTCCTCTCCAGAGCTCTTCTCATCGGAGGCCCAGCCGGCCTCCTCAGAACGGCGCACCTCCTCGACCTTCTCACCAAAGACCTTGTCGTCCGCTTCAGACGGCTCAGTGGCAGGCGCACCTTGCACCTTGGGCTTCTCCGCGGCCTTCTCGCCGGCCTTCACAGCCTCGACGTCTCCCGCGGGCGGCGAGCGGTGTTCGGCCTCGACGCGGTAGAACACGAGGAGCGAGACGACCTCGAGGCCGATGAGCGCGAGCAGGAACCAGAACGCGGCCGCGCGGCCCGCGTAGCCCGCGGGGTTGCCGGTCCTCGCCTCGACGCTGTCCTCGATCGAGCTCACGGCCGCGATGCCGACGGCCGAGCCGAGCTGGAGCGCGCCGTTGAAGATCGCGCCGACCGTGCCGGCCATGCTCGCCGGCGACGTGCGGAAGATGGCGATGTTCGTGTGCGTGTACGAGAGCATCGCGCCCGCGCTCCCGAGGACGAACGCGGGCAGCACGTGCGAGAAGTACTTGTCCGGCGCGTCCGCCGTCGCGAGCAGCACCGTCGCGACGACGAGCAGGCCCTGCGCGAACAGCAGCACGTACTTGGGGCTCACCCGGTTCGAGAGCGGCCCGCTGAAGCTCATCGCAAACGCGAGCACGCCGATGGGGATCATGCGCAGCGCGACCGAGATGACGGACCACTCGTAGATTTCCTGCCACAGCGCGGTGATGATCGTGAAGATCGTCGTCCACCAGAGGTAGGGGAGGAGCGCCATGCCGAAGAGAACCGAGAAGTTGGGTAGGAACCATGTGCGAGGCGGACTTTGCAGGAGAGGTCAGCACCGGCTTCAACACGGCATAGATAGAAGCACTTACACGGCGGCAGTATTAGCGGGTATCCGCTTCTCGTAAACGAAGAAGCCTACGACGCCAAAGATGGAAATAACCAGTGGCGCGATGACTCCCGCAGTTCCCCAGCCAGCAGCCGAGCCGGATGTGACCGCAAAGATAAACAGGATGAGGGCGGCAGTCAGGATGGACACGCCGACCAGGTCGAGCTGCTTCCAGCGCTGCTTCTGTGGCTCGTCAATCCCCTGGTGGAGGGAAGGCGCAAGCCAGAGGCAGAGGCCGCCAATGGGGATGGCAAGGAGAGCGACGAACCAGAAAACCCACGACCAGCTCGCGAACTGGACGAAGATGGCACCAATAATCAGACCAAGGACATTGCCAACGGCACCACAGCCGCCAAAGACACCAATGGCACCTACGAAGCACATGTAAATAAACAAGTCAAGAGAAGGATTGCATTTTACGTACGAGACTGTTCGGTGGGCTCTGGGAAGACCTCGACCAGGAGTGTGAGCGCTGAAGGGATAGTCAACGACGCAGCTAAAGCGCAGACACATCAGCTGGAGCTTGTGCGGTGACATCGAAAAACCTACCAATGCCACTCAGTGCCCGAAGGACGATGAGCACTATCTTGTCGCCCACAAAGCCTGCGCCAATCGAAATGCACCCGAGCATGACGACGCCCGAGACGAAGGCGTGTTCTGCGGCAAGGTTTAGCTTCGTGAGAACGCACGGAATTGACAAGGAAGCGTACTTGGGTTGTAGACGTCACTTATCCTGCCACTCTACGATCCGCAGTTAGCACAGCGCGTATGGGACGCGAGGGTGCACCGGACTCACGACGAGGAGGAAGGACGCGAACGTGAGCTGAAAGGCACTGATGATCCATGTAGAATCACTCTCGGTCATGTCAAGGCTTTTGACGAGCGAGGGGATCGCAGAGAACAGGGCGGAGTTGTTGAAAGCATCGAGGAATTGGGCGAGACAGAAGACGATGAGGAGGAAGTAGCGGCGCCCTGCCGAGTACCGCTGGGGGACCTTGCCGTTGACGAGGGTCTGCACCGGGGAGAGCGAGAGATTGTTCGTTGCTGTCGGCGGTGCCAACATCGTGACGCGTCGTGACGAACGTGAAAGACAGAATAGAGCCTGGAACCCAGCAGAAGAGAAGGGAACACGCAAGTCGTTACTGCAGAGGTGGGTTTTATAAGCGGCTGAAAAGTCTCGGCTGGGCAGAGGAAACGTACCTGCTGACCGGTGGGCAGTTATGTGCGGATGCGAAGGCCGTCATTTATAAGACGGTTTTGCACGTCCGGCTCTGGATTACAAATGAGCCTGAGAAGGATTCCAGAACTCGAGGAACATCCCGCCCACGGCAAATGGTTTCCTGCGCTCACGCTGATTGGCCCGCCACGCCCGAGAACAGGAGTCATTCGCGTGATCGGGGAGGTTATCGCCCATCGGCCATGCGATAGACCAGCCGGGACTTCCTCGGCATGTCCTTACACGGCATCTTTACGCAAACAGAGTGTCGAAGGTTTTTGGCTTTCGCTCCGGACCGAATGTTTGCATCCACAGCGCGCGCCGTCCGAGGCAATTGACCTCGCCGAGTCAGAGAAATTAAAGTAACCTTCGACGACAGCATGGATAGCAAGGTCCTTCACGAAGGAGGCCGCCGCCTAGGGGAAGCCCCATCACCACAGGCGGTCTAACACGGAACCGTGCGCCGCCAATAATCCATACTATGGGAGCAATGAGGTTACCCGCAGTTCACTTCGAAGCGCAACAAGCACAACACGTTGATTCCCTCCTTCCAACGGCAGCAGCCGACGCTTCGACTACGTAGGAAAACAACCTTACTTACCAAGGAAGCCTGATGTACGACCGCTGTTCTCTTCTTGTGCTGGGACGAGGCATCGCTAGCAGGCAGAGATCCTGGCGGCGTACTTAATTCCGATGTTTTTGGCACATCAGCCGGCCATCGGCCGACGCTTCCACGAGCTCAGGCGCATTTCGGTACAAGACTCGCACTGGGGCAGCCTTTCTGGCCACAAGGTCCTCACGAGTGCACGGGAGGCCCTCGTGCGCAGCATGATTCAGAACGTAAGGATAGTCGCATGATACGGTAGCGAGCGTGACGGGGCGACATGATGGTCCAGAGCAAAGCCCAGGCGGTAGCGCTGCGACGTTTCCCACCGGCACGTGCTCTGGAGGCGTTTACGCTTCGCCGTTGCCCGCGGGTCGCACCTTGCTTCAAACCACCATCACGCCCAACGACGCACGTCGCCCGCGCTCATCCTCCTCCGTCTGACCTCTCTCTCTTCCGTACGCTAAGCAACCATGTCCGGCCGTGGCAAGGGTGGAAAGGGTCTCGGAAAGTGCGTTCTGTCGCTGTTATTGCTGGCCATGGCCTCCGGGGTGGCTGCTGCGCTGCGCACATGCTCACGACGAACGTGTCCACAGGGGAGGTGCCAAGCGTCACCGCAAGATTCTGCGTGACAACATCCAAGGTATCACCAAACCCGTACGTCCTATTGCACCCCGGATACTGTATCAAGAGGCTAATCTACGGGTCTAGGCCATCCGCCGTCTCGCCCGTCGTGGTGGTGTCAAGCGTATCTCTGGTCTTATCTACGAGGAGACCCGTGGTGTTTTGAAGATCTTCTTGGAGAACGTGAGTTGTATGTCTTCACTGTACGCCCATGACTAACAACAGACACCTTGCAGGTCATCCGTGATTCTGTACGTCGGACGAAAGTTTGGAAGCTGTGCTTCGCATCTAACGTGTCTATTGTCTATAGGTTACGTACACTGAGCACGCCAAGCGGTACGTCTTGCCCCCACTACAAATACCTTCAGCCGCCGCTCACTAGTTTTTCTCCCCCAGTAAGACGGTCACTGCCCTCGACGTCGTCTATGCCCTCAAGCGCTCCGGCCGTACTTTGTACGGTTTCGGTGCCTAAATTCGTGCTCTTGCTGCAGCCCGAGCGGCTTTCTGGCCAACTTCTTTTGAGACCTGCTGAGCTAGCCCGCGAGGTCGTTGTTGCGGTACCACCGCTCCCGCGTCCTGCCCGCGCGCCGACGAGAACGCCTGTTATGGATCTGTGTAGCACGTATAATGAAGTTATGCTTTTTCACGAACCTCGAGACAGGGCGACATGATGAGCCAGGCGGTAGCGCTGCGACGTTTCCCACCAGCACGTGCTCCAGAGGCTTCGCCGTTGTCCGCGGGGCGCAGCTTACTCCCTCACGCTCACCGACGCACGTCGCCTGCGCTCATCCTCCTCCGTCTGACCTCTCTTCCGTATACTAAGCAACCATGTCTGGCCGTGGCAAGGGTGGACTGGGTCTCGGAAGGTGCGTTCTGCCGCTGTTATTGCTGGCCATGGCCTTCGGGGTGGTAGCTGCGCTGTGCACATGCTCACTACAAACGTGTCCACAGGGTAGGTGCCAAGCGTCACCGCATAACTCTGTATTCAAACATCCAGGGTATTACCAAACCCGTACGTCCTATTGCGCCCCGGCTACTGTATCAAGAGGCTAATCTACGGGTCTAGGCCATCCGCCGTCTCGCTCGTCGCGGCGGTGTCAAGCGTATCTCTGGTCTTACCTACGAGGAGACCCGTGGTGCTCTGAAGATCTTCTTGGACAACGTGAGTTGTATGTCTTTACCGTACGTCCATGACTAGCAACAGACACCTTGCAGGTCATCCGTGATTCTGTACGTCAGACGAAAGTTTGGTAACTGTGCTGCGCATCTAACGTGTCTATTGTTCGTAGATTGCGTACACTGAGCACGCCAAGCGGTATGTTTTGCCTCCACTACAAATATCTTCAGCTACCGCTCACTAGCTTTTCTCCTTCAGTAAGACGGTCACTGCCCTTGACGTCGTCTACGCCCTCAAGCGCTCCGGTCGCACCCTGTACGGTTTCGGTGCCTGAGTTTGTGCTCTTGCTGCAACCTGAACGGCTTTCTAGCCAACGTTTTTTGAGACCTGCTGAGCTAGCCCGCGAGGTCGTTGTTGCGGTATCGCCGCTCCCGCGTCCTGCCCGCGCGCTGGCGAGAACGCCTATTGTGGATTCGTGTAGCACGTATAATGAAGTTATGCTCTTCCATGAACTGCCTGCTGGACCGCCAAGCGCGTTGGGAGTCGGTTGCCGAACGTCGTGAGAACAGAAGGGAGTCTTGTCATCATTTTTGATCACCCTTCCACCCTAGACAGACCCAGTAGCCTTCACTAGACTCGTCTCGGCTGGACTGGGGCTTGTGGTACATGACTGAATAGAACCGGGGCTCGAGTTCTTCCTCCCTGAACTGTTGTAGCAACGGGTGCTGGAAGTGCTTCAGTCTGCACACTATGGTCAACTGTGGACGCGTGGTTGAGAAGGGAAAGAAAAAAAAGGCACACGCACACAAGGACCCCTCCCCGCCTCCTTCCGATCTCTCTCGCCGTGCGCAAGTGCCGCCTCGCGAACGCCAGCACCGCCTCGCAGATCTGCAGGCTCGCCTCGGTGTCCGCGACAGCGCTGCCGGTGCAGTTGGCGGCCATGTCCGAGAGCACGACGTCGACGCCGCGTCCGCCCGCCGTCGCGAGCAACGCCTCGACGAGCTCGTCCGCGTCGGGCGCGAGGAAGTCTGTCTGCAGCGTCTGCACACCAGGGATCGGGTGCATCGGGAGGAGGTCGACTGCGACGATCACGCCACGACCTTGGCGCGCTGCGTCGTCGTCGTCGTCGGGCCCAGCGTTGAGGTACGCGAGCGGGTCGTCGTCGTCCGCGAGCGGCTGCTCCAGTGCGTGTGCGTGTGCGGAAGCAGGCGCGCTCCACGAGCCGTGTGCGGCGGTGCGCGCGGCGTCGTCGAGGCCGAAGCCGGCCTGGGCAGCGTCCTGGCGGGCGCGCTCGCCGGTGCGGCGCGCGCGCGCGGCAGCGGGGCCGAGCACGCCGTCGAGGCTCCAGCCGAGCTTGCCCGAGGCGACCTGGCTCCAGCCGCCGGGGGCCGCGCCGAGGTCGACGACGGCGCGCACGTCGGGCGCGCGCAGGAACTTGAAGCGCGCCTCGAGCTCGAGCAGCTTGAACGCGCCGCGCGAGCGGTAGTGTGCCGGGTGCGAGAGCCGCGCCTTCACGAACGGGTCGCCGAACTGTCGCGCGAGCCATGCGCGCGAGGAGGGCGGCAGCTTGTGCGAGTAGGCTCGCGCCGCGCTCGCTGCGAAGGACATGGGATGGAGGAGAAGAGCGAAGAGGAGATGCGGCGTTTGTTGTTGGTCGGCTGCAGGCGTCAAGGGTGACCCCCAGATCGGGACGTCTGGCGCCTTTTTTTTGCGACGTGAGCTTGCTCCCCATCCGCCACCATGTCGGACTCGACGGACGCCTCGACGCTCTACCCTGGCTACAGTTGGGTCGAAGATTTTGCGGAGGACGACGACGAGTACGAGCGAGACGAGAACGGAGACGTCATCGAGGAGGTCGAGTACGTCACGGTCGACCTCGGCGTCGTCGAGCCGACGCTCGTACCGAGCTCGTCCGCGTACCGTCTCATCGTGGGTACTCCGAGGGCTTCAAAGGACGAGGGGGCAACCTGACAACGCTGCATCTACCACCAGGGTTTGGACACCCCCCACCCATATCTGCAGCTGTCCGGCACGGTCTTCAAGGGGAAGCACCAGACCCTGCTGGGCACAGAGCTGCTCTTCACAGACACGCCAGGTGAGCCGTGCCTCCCGCCGCACTTCCCCCCTTCTCCACAGACCGCACGCTCACGCGCGCAGATGACACACAGGGCCGCACGAGCCGCACGCTCGTGCACGTCGCGAACACGGAGAAGCGCATCGCGTTCAGGGAGGTGGAGCTCCGGGAGAAGGACCCCCGCGGTGCGCAGCAGCAACAGCAGCCCGGGGCGTCTGCACCTGCTGCGGGCAAGCGGCGCAGGCCGCGCACCGTAGAGCAGGTCGTCGGAAACGATGTGCTCGTGGAGGAGCAGCAGCCCGTGCGGGGGCGCGGGGGCAGGCGTCCCCGTGGCGGCGGCGGCGGCCGGAAGGGGAAGGGGAAGGAACGCGCACGCGACGGCGCTGCTGCAGATGAGGCGGCGGCACCGGGACAAGACATGCAGGGTGCTCCCGCGGATACGTCAGAGGGATGATCGTTGCCGGTGAGCCAACATGACTTGGCTCATTTGTCAGAGGGATGATCGTCGCCGGTGAGCCACACAGCTTGGGTTCATTTGGCGTAGGGTTGACGGTTTGTCGAGGACCCCGGGTTGGCAGTAGGCTTTCAGAGTTTCATGTCGCGCTGCGCGCATACAGCGGACTTTGTTGGCGGCATTTGCGGCGGACACCGCCGGGCTTGTGCGATGTTGACCCTTGTGATTTTGCCATTGCGACGGGCTTGTGCGTGCTACGCATAGGCACGCCGTTTCAATAAGGACGTCTCGGCGATAGTCACAGGTGCTGCCACCTCGTGCAAGATAACTTGGTGAGTCACCACTGAATGCGACGGAGGGCAGCTTGCTAACGACATCGCGATAGGTGGCTGCCGCACCCGTACGCGGCGTGGAGTGCCCACCGCTCATTCAGTCCGCGGCGTTTGAGCAGTGTTTCCGGATTTTCCCTGTAGATCGTCGGCATTCGTTCGAGCCTCAAGTCTGTTTTTCGGCCCCACTTTTCGCGTTCAAGTAAGATTCCAGCTCCAGGAGAACCCCGCCGGTTTCATAAAATGTGGGAGACTGTGGAAATATGCATGCCTTCGGGGCCTTCGCGGACGCCGCTGCACGCGCACGGCGCTCCTTCGTTTGATGTATGCACTGGGACGAGCCTCGCCTGGCTGAGCACTTGACTGGCTGTCGCAGCGCGCGCCACCGGGGTCGAGCGTGGCGCCCGGCAGAGTCCGTCGAGGCCGCGCCTCGTGTCCGCCCCGAGAAAGGAGCCGGTATCTGAATATTTCCTATTCGTGCGGCGTGCTGACACGCTGAATCTCCGCGCGACAGACGCGGTTGTGTCTGTTGTGATGGAGGGGGGGGGGGTGCCGAAGCTTGAGATTGAGTTGGGAACACGCCAACATTCCGCGCGTGCGGCGAGACGGGTGGGTCGTGTTTTCTCTTGGCCTCGCACCCTGTTGGGGTCTGGCCGCCACGGTCTGCGACAGGGCGCGGATGGCCGTGCGTGCGGGGCTGGGCGCGAGCTGCTGCACGGCGCCCGCCAGGAAATTACGCAGCCCGTTCTTGGCAGGGACTCGATCAGACAACTGTCAGACGTGGAGCTCCCCATCCTATGGGGCAAGGCACGCGTTGCAGCAGAAGCCCCCCCGCAATTTGAATACCGTTCAGTGTGTGTATATAAGCTCGACGGTCGCGAGCACTGGCAACCCACTGTTTTCGCTCGCAGCCTTCACCTCCGCGCGCACTGCACGACCGCCCCGATGACCATACACCGCCATCAAAGGCCAACCGGCCTCAGTCCTCATTTCCTTGCGGCCGCCCACCCTTCCGAGGGTACCCGAATAAAAGCCTCGCGTCATCATCGACGGCCGTCGTGACGAGGTCAGTGCTGCCCGGGCTGTCATGTCCTGAGCGAACACTCACTCGACTTGTTGAAAAACAGACTGACGACTGCTCGTGGCCCGGCGGCCGGGTGTTTCTCGTAAAGCGCCTAGAGCTGCATATGTGCGTCGCTACCAGTTTTGCTGCTCCTTCCATGCACTTATGTTGCCGTCAACGTCAGACCCTTGCGTCACGCGCACCGTTTCGGCAGCCCTCCCACACACATGTTATATGATGAAAGCGGACATCTCCACCCGACCTGCAGTTCTCTCCGTTTTTCTCGGCTGCTGTCGCTACCGTGTTGGCTTGTATCTACCCCCCGATTGCTGTATATCCGAGGTGTCGAACAAACTCTCCATCTTGCGCAGGAACGAGCCACAAAGCGCACCTGGATAGTCTAATAAGCGCGGGTGTCTCACGCCAGGCGTGATATCTTGCGAATCGTGGATCTGTCGCTCGCAGTTTTGCATGCGGCGGCCTGGCGCCCCGCAAGCCGACGAGAGCCGAGACTTTTGTATTGCTCAATCACTGATGACGCAGTGCATCCACTGAGCACTGAATTGGCAGACGACCCTGAGGCGACTCGGACTGGACGCCAGAATGTAGCAGGGGCGCGGAACGCAAAGCCGACGTCGCAGAATGCCCGGTAGATCCTCGTTGCAGATCGTGAATGTGGCGTCTGCTCCGTCGGCAAACTGCAGCAGTTGCCTTATGGAGCCTTGCGCCGCCGTTCGCCACGTCCAGGCGACAAGCGCGGGCAGATGCGCTGGCAACTTGAGCCTCACCTTAAGCCTACGAATTTCAAAGGCTAGGACTTCTGGCGGCGCACACAGTATTTCTGCCGCATGTATCAAATGAAACTTCAATGTATGCAAGCCTAGGAACCTTCAAACCAGACAAGTCGTGCAAATTCTGCAGGAGCTTCAAGTAAAACATGACGCAGGCATGACGGGACGAGGTATGCCTTGCAATCTCTGGCATAAAACGACTGCTATCATTAGTGTTATCTCTCTGAAGCTCTAAGGGCATTTGCTCTTTCGCCGAGCATTATTCCGAATATTCCCATATATTCGTCGGTCCAAGTAGGATTAGATGGCCTACGATCTCCCAAGGTAAGAACACTCGATCATGCCATTTATGAAGGCTCAAGACATTTACAAGGTGAAACTTGGCCAGACAGATATACATCAGCACATATGCCTCTTACAGAAATCTTTCATAGGCAGAAGTACCCAGTTTTCGGAGCACGCGGCATCACGTCTAAAATATGCACCCGCCGTTCAGAACAGCGGTATTGATGCTACATATAAACAAATGTACGAATGTTTGTTCCCTATCTGCATCAAAACCGAGGCCACATCTCCCTCTTGCCCTTGTCCACTCCATCTCTTTTGTCGCGCACATCGCGCACCTCTTGTTCGGACACGACGTCGATCGCGCAAGCCTTGTCATGGTATGCCCCCGCGTTATTGTGAATCCATTCGCCAATGACAACATATGGGTGCCACACAGATGCCTGGCCCCAAAATAAAGTCCGGCCCCGCCGCCGCCACCACCAAGGACAGACCCTCCGCCCCTTCACTGAAAAAGAAAACTGCGACATCGGCCTCGAAGACAGACGAGACCACCAGCTCTGCGGCCGCCGCCAAACTTCCTCTACGCACCGAACTAGCCAATGTCGACATCATCCACCGTGACGGCGCCGTGCCGATCGCGCTCCGCGCATCTACCGCAAGACAAGCAGCCGCCGATAGGGCCTCGGCGGCCTTCGCGAACGGGAAGCTGACGGGATGGCTGCCTCCTTCGGCTCTGAGCTTTTCGGGGGAGCCGCAGTGGAGTGGCCGTGGCAAGGCTGAGCGGTGGCACGGCGACGGTGTCCAGCAGAGACCCGCGAGACCGGCTCGAAACAGGAAGGGCGGCAAGAAGCCGAATACTCGTACGTCGTCGCTCAGTGGTCTTGGGTGTATGTTGCTTTTTTTGAGCGGCCACCGATTTTTGGAAGACGCCACCGGTCAGGCCGCCAGCCCCTCGGATGTGCAGGCCCCGTCGAAGCCCGTTCGGTTCGTAACATATACGCCGCCGTCGAACGCTCCGACAGTCAAGCCGAAAGTGAAGCCGCTGGCTGCTGCTGCTGAAGACCGTACGTCCCTGGTTCAGTCGACCCTCTCGCCTAGTACTGACACGTGCTTGACAACCTCCAGCGACCACCATCGCGTCCCACAGCGCGGCCGAACGGCCCACCAAAGCCAACCGCGGCCAAAAACGCAAGTCAGACGAGCGCGGCGCGCCGACGAGAGGAGGCGCGAGCAAACGAGGTGAGTCGCCGGAACGCGCCACCTGCGCTGCCCAATAATACTTATCCCCTTCCTCCCCCAAGCACGCACCGCACCGACAGACCTGACGGGCGTGCCTGCCGTCGTTGCAACGCCCCGGGCGGGCAGGTCGTCCACCGCAACGGACACGGCCAGGGACACGAGCGAGGGACGCCAGGAGGCGCGGCTCTCGCCCTCTTCTGCCCCCGTGGTGGCGGTGCAGGCCCGGAAGCAGACGAAGACGAAGCCAAAGGCAGCTGCAGCTAGCGCCCCCACAGTGTCCCTTGGCGTCCGGGACACCGACCCCGCACTGGCACACCCGATTGTCCAGAACGCTACTCCGCCGCCGGTACTCCCGTCCAGCACGCCCATGCCCGCACTCAACCCCACGCCCGCGCCCGCGCCCGCGCCCGCCAGTGGCCCCGCCATTGCCGCAGACGCACCGCGCCCGGCGGGCGTCCCCGCCGACTCGGACTCGGACTCGGACCCGCTTGCCTCCGCATCGCTCGACTGGCTCGACGCGCTGCTGGCCCACGCCGACGCGCTGCTCGCACAGGCCACCGCCACGCCCGTGAGCTACACGCTCGACACCTTCCTCCCGAACCTCGTGGTTCCGCCTTGCGCAGGACAGCTCGTACCCGCCGCAACCGTGGCGGGCCTCGGCGATGCGATGACGACGACGGCGGAGGCGGCGGAGGCGGAGGCACCGCTGGGCGACTTTGCACGACTCCCCGCCGCCGCCGCGACAATGGGCCTCGGCGACGACGCGACACGGCGCCCGCCGGAGGCCTGGCAGAGCTTGGGCCTCGCGTACCCTCTGCCCGTCATCGCGTCGGCCGCCGGCGCCGGCGCCGAGCTGCGCTGCGACGGCGGGCTCGGGTGGGGTGAAGGGTCCCTGTTTGGTAGCGACGACGCGTTGTTTGGGTAGAGAGGGGGATGTATAGGTGTTTACACACAGCCTGATTTCTCCTTTGGAATAAATATAGAATAGAGTAGGTATCACTCAGAAGTGTATGTAATATTGGTCAGCGTCGTTATTTTTTTGTTTGGCGAACGGTGAGGATGTGGATGAGGCGTGTGCACCCCTTGCCGCGTGTTGTCTTTGCGCAAGTTGTGAAGAGCACGTACGCAACCGTTTCGCGCCATCAGACCACAATAAACTGAAAGCTATTGCTATACGAGAAGCCACACTGTCTACGGTACCAGACACCAAAAACCAACAAAGCACAAAACACAAGCAGTCCAATCTCGATGGTGGGCGAGCGAGCGACGAGGCTCTACTTGCGCAGCTTCTTGACCTTGCGATTGTCCTCGGTGGGGTAGTCACGCTTGCCGGCACGCTTGTTCACGACACGAACGAGCGCGCGCTTCATCTCGCTGTCCTTGAAGTCGTCCAGCCTGAAGTACGACGGCGCGTACTCCAGCAGCCTGTCCCAAGTCGCGCCAGCCCGTCAGTAAAAAAACACGCGGGCGCGAGAGAGAGCGGAGGTGAGACTCACCACTCGGGCAGGACCGTCGTCACCGTGCGGACGTACGGCCGCGTCGTGAGCACGAACTCGTTAAAGATGACCCACTCGGGCGAGTTGTCAAGCCCGCACGACGGGTGCAGGCCGACGACCTGGTTGTCCTTCACCGTCATGTACTGGTTCTTCTCGCCCTCCCGGTGCGCGACCTGCATGAAGTAGCCGCAGACGAGCGCCTTGCGCACGTTGAGGTACAGCTTGCGCTCGTCCTGTGTCGACACGAGGGAGACCTCGAAGCGCTCCATCGTGCGTTCGAGCTGTGCCCGCACGTTCTCGGCCTGCATCAGCGCACGGCTCGAGAGGTAGTTGGTCCAGGCCCAGTTTTTGTCGTGTTTGTCTGTTGCTAACGGTAAGTGTCCGGTTCAAACCAAGAAAGCAAATGTGGACTTACTCTCTTGGTAGTTATTGTAGACGTTCAAAAACGTGAGATGGTCGCCATCTGGCACCGTGAACAGCTGTTTCGCCGCATCGGCCTCCTTACGCTGGTTTGGCGGACGTATCCAGACGTTGGGAACTAGCGTACCGATAAGCATCCGACCACGCACGGAACACAAACAGCTTCAAGCTTACCAGAAAGCATGGCGACGATAGTTAGAATCTCATTGCTGCAGTTAAACTCTGGGCTGACGATAAGCATCTTGGACATCTATGCGACATGTCAGTGAGACCATGCTCAACCGCCCCTGCGACAACTTGCCTGAGGATCAAGGGGAAATTCGGCCATGATGCCCCCAAGAGGGGTGAGGTTGCCGTCGTCGTCCAGCGCAGCGAGGTAGTTGAGCAGCTCCAGCGCACGCATCAAAGTCTCCGGCGCGGGTGCATCGACATAATCGAAGCGCACCAGGTCCTTGATGCCCAGCTTGACGAGCTCCAGCACGACATTCGACAAGTTGCTCCTGAGGATCTCGGGATGTGTTTGCTCCTCGAGCTCCGTCATGAAATCTTTCTCCGTGTACAGACGGAAACACTTGCCGGGCCTAGTGCGACCCGCACGGCCCGCACGCTGTTGCGCAGAGGCTTTGGAGATCGGAGAGACGAGAAGGGACTCGACACGGACGCGGGGGTTGTACACCTTCTGCTTTGAGAAGCCAGGGTCGACGACGTAGACGATACCGTCGATGGTGAGCGACGTCTCGGCGATATTTGTCGACACGACGACCTTGCGGCCAGGCGGGCTGTCAGGAGTGCGAGACGATGGTGGCGGGTCGAAGATGCGCTGCTGTTGTTGTGGGGGCAGTGACGAGTAGAGGGGAATGCACACGAGTGGCCCAACGGCGTCTGGGTCTTGGTTGAGAAGGTCATCAGCCTCTAATTTGATCTTCCGACATGCGTCTTCGATCTCTTCTTCACCAGTCAAGAAGAGGAGGATATCACCAGGATCTTCGGCGCGGTGAATCATCAGCACCGTGCGGATAGCAGCCTCAACGTAGTCGGGTTCAGGCTCCTGGGTGTAGAACACCTCAACGGGATGGGTCCGTCCGGGAACTTTGAACAGCGGCGCTGGCTCGCCTGGTATGAGAGAGAAGTATTTTTGGAACTTGAGGGCGTCAAGTGTCGCGGACATGACGATGATTTTGAGGTCGGAGCGGCGCTTAGCCAAGGCTTTGAGTAGACCCATGAGAATATCTGTAGCGAGCGTACGTTCGTGCGCTTCGTCAAGGATGATCGTGGAGTATCGTAGCAGATCTGGGTCGTTCATCGCTTCACGGAGAAGCATACCATCGGTCATGTACTTCAAGAACGTCGTTCCTCGTTCTGTCATGTCTTCGAAACGGATCGAGTAGCCAACCTGCTTGCCAAGCGGCACTGAGGAACCATGTCAGAGAACGTCACTTGCGAGCAATAGCCCAACACACCGTCCATCTCGTCAGCGACACGCTTGGCTACCGACATGGCGGCAACTCGACGTGGCTGGGTACACGCGACCATCTTGCCCTTCACGTGCGGAAGATCGGAGTAGCACACAAACTGTGGTATTCTAGATACAAAGTCAGTGTATTTCGCGGACAGAATATGCACAAAAAGACCGTACTGTGTTGTCTTGCCTGAACCAGTCTCACCAACCATGACTATAATCTGGTGCTTGTTGAACTTTCCCGAAAGTCAGCTACGTTCGCTTCGGGCCGGGAGGTATCGTATGCCTGAAGCAGACTCTGACCTCCTCCTCTCAAAATAATGGTTGTGTATACTCACCATTTCGTAGAACTCCCGCATTTGCGCGAACACAGGCAGCTTCTTGCGAACTTCAAGGATCCTCTTGTATTGCGCGCTGTGAGGTTGCTTCGTGAACGGGTTGACATCTCCCTCCTATGCGGTAGGAAGCGACCATTAGCCAGGTCCTTTCGGTAACAGAACCGTGAGCCCTTACCATTGCTTTTGTGACCTGCACTGAGACAACATTGCGGGCCAGGAACCCAAATAATGGCTCCGCCGTCGGCTTGGAGAGAGGCGGGGCCTTAGTGTAGGGATTGAAAACTTCAGACATCGTGCAACGAGGATGAGATGGGAAGGAAAAAGGGACTGGACTCGCCCGAGGATAGTGGAAGGCAAAGGCAAAGATATTGATGGGCGCTAAATTGAAAACATCGGTTTGCTGTGTGCGCTTATGTCAGCAGCTCGACCTTCGGTCCCGCGTTTGACTCTAAGGCCTGTGGCGAGCGGATTATTTGGCACACTGCAGCTTCATCCTATACCTTTGCATGAAAATACATTCAGCTATTTGGAAGAACTGCAAACAGTGCAATCGCGGTCGGCGACGGCATACAAAAATTCCCCGCGGTCCGTGCACCCAAATACTCAGGCTTCACCATACCTCCCCGCGGACTCCATGCGTCGACTGCCCGTGGCAGGGTTACCGCGCGGATGACTCGTCTCCACGTCGTGGAAATGCTGTCCATGCTGTCCAGTGATTTTATTCCTCAACGCGCCGGAACTAAGACAGCTAGAAGCCAGGCCGCCCGAGTACCTCGACGCGGTCGTGCACAGCCTGCTAGACCGACCGGTCGGTCGGTAGAAGTCTGGATACCCGCTGCCTCTCGCCCAACATCTCGACTTCAGGCGGTCATTGCGGTTTCTACATGCATGGAGGCGCAGTGCTTAAAGCCTGTCCCATGACTCCGCGGCATGCCGCGTACGCAAGCTGTTCCGTTGCTGTACCCCTATTGGGTACTCGTTCAGTCTCAGGGGTATGGCACTTGCATGACCGTCCTAACATACCTCCTTGGCTCAAAATGCTGCCACAATTTCTGTCGGTATCTCATGCTGCGTAGGACAGGCTCGGGGGGCCACAGAATTCTGGTATAGCCTTGTCCATTACAAGATGATGCGGATGTTTGTCTCCCGCCCTTCGTCTTTTGTCGCGCGTGCTTACGCCATGAAGGCCACAAACAACACTGCCACAGTAAACTCTACATATATACCCGTGCCAGACTCGCCAAAGCCAGACCCACCACAACTTCTTGGCTCGCACCTTCATGGGGTACGTCCACCGTCATTCATCCGCGCAGTGCTTTTGCTGACGCGCGGATCCGCTAGTATTTTCGTCAGCATCGTCCAGGCCGTCGTAACCGGCATCGTAGATGTTGTCAAAGGTGCGCCACACTGCTCCGCGCCGTCAACATCGGGCTGAATTCCTTGCGTGTAGCTATCCAGGGGGTAATTCTATTCATATTGCTCTCTCCTCTTTTCCTCGTCATTGCCATCGGCACAGGGGTTGCAATATGCTTCGGCTTCCGACACGCAGGGTACGTTTCAGTCGAATTGTCCTTGCCACTGGCTAACGATGAATTCCAGGAAAATGTGGAAAAAGACGGATCCCTTCCGAGACTGAGTTGATTGTGGCCACTTCTCTGGACCCGAATGCGCTGCCATGGACACTTTAATTATGCTTATGCTATGTCTATGATACGTCCTTGTCCTATATGCATGCATCCAATATCCTGTCTGGATATCAATATGAGAATGGAGTCGTGTGTTCAGTGTTGGTCACCAGGGCACTTCTGTACCAACCATTAGAAATGCCCACATCTGTTCGAGGCACTGCGCTACACAGGCTCAACCACTTGCTTCATTCCTTAAATTGGATTTCGTATGCCATTCAGTAAGTAAGCTTGTTCGCATTTAAGCAGAGAAACATAATACACCGATGATAGTAAGGCCCACGCCCTCATGCTATGCCAGCCACTTTCCCTTCCCCTTCTTCCCCTTTCTCGGACTTGCCCACTATCGGGCCCCCAGAAACATTTTGCTCAGACATAATGAGCTGTTACGAACGGCGTGGCCTTCGCGATCTTAAGAGCCGACTTCTTTGCCCGTTTGATCTTCAGCGGGCTTTACATCGACTCTACGCTTGCTCTACTTGATTATTCCCTGCGAAGGCCTTGTTGGCGTCGCAGGCGCGGTTGCAGCTGCAGGAGGAGAAGCAGGAGGAGAAGCAGGAGGTGTGAAACACAATATGCAAGAGCGCAGGACCGACGTCCGTGTCGCCGGGCAAGGCCAGAGCCATGCAAGTCTTCCCATGTACAACAACCCCCGCGGCAGGCTGGGCGCCCTCTTCTCCGCGAGCTACGGGGCAGTCGCGCGCGCCAGCGGCGACTGCATCAGTGCCGGAATCTGTCCGTCGCCTCTTCTGCGCCTAAAGGGCGGGCGAGGTTGACGAAAACAAGACAAGGATCCGGCGCTGGGCCGGGCTGGAAGACGTGCACAATCAGGACAGATTTCCAGATAAGAGGCGATTGTACGCACTGTTGTCCCCAGAGAATCCCGTCTCGACATCAGCGTTAGGCTATTTTCCAGTTATCCTGTGCGGCTGCCGAAGCATCGTGTCCGGCACCTTTAGCTGCGGATCGACAACTGCACCCACGTCGACACTTTCTTTCTGCCTCTTCGCCGCGGGCAGGGGCAGGAACAGGAGAGGCAGACGCCTGTGCCTTCCCTTCTCGCTGGTACGGCGGCGTCCACAGGTACCGTAATTCTAGGACTCCCAAGCCGCGCTCTGAGTTCACTTTCGGTAGGGCACTTTCCGGCGCCTGCAGCAGCACACAGAACAGACGCGGCTCCGGGCCTGATATCAACACCAGGCCTAGGACGAACTGGAGAAAGAACCGATGCAGTGCCAGCCGAAGCCATCTGCGCGCTCTGGCAAGGCGGTGCGGCACTTCAGTCGCTCTACCACGCTCTGGAGCACCGCACAGGGTTCGTGTCTTGCGGTCGCGATGCCGGACTGGCGGGAGGTGCGCCGCGCGGTACTGACGAGCGCTCAGGAGACGACGCTAAGCGCGCACGCGGGACGTCATTCTATGGCACGATGTGAGGCGGGGAGCCGCGAGTGAAATTTTGAAACTTGATCGGTCGAGTTTGGCACAGTATGCCGCGAGAACGCGGCCGACTAGGACGCGTATGTCCTCGGCCTCGGGAAGCGCTGGCGTGGCAAAACCGTCTGCGTCAACTCAGGTATTAGACGAAGGACGTGGAAGGGCAGTTTGTGTTGCAAATGTGCAGGCTATGTCGGATGTGATCCGGTGTTTAATCCATGTGACGTGGGATTGAGAGTGGTGTGTGTTTCTTGGGCCGTTCGTCGCATAGGCGCACTATTACGCGAAGGCGCGGTGCAGAAGACTGCACTGCACTACCGTTATGCAGGTCCTGTGGGCCATTGATAGCAGATCCGTAGGGTCACCGAAGCCTAGGAGCAAACATGCTTATTTTTGAGCTGATCAATACCGCGAAGTCCAAAGCTAATACCGAGCAAATTGTACTCACTCTTTTGAGGCTCATTCGGTACGTACGAAAATACCGTCGGATCTCTATGGTGGATAGATAGCCATGGTTCGATTTCGGCATGGAAGCCGGGGTGCCGTCCGTGAGTAGTGAGTGACATATCCGTGACCCGAAGAGCATGGTAGTGACCAGGCAGATGTGAGGACACCAGACACCAGCCAGTATATTATCCAGTGCGCCTGCCGCAGGCACTTATCACGTCCGAGGCTGTGGCCCGGTGCCTCGGAAGGCCGCTGAGTATTTAGTCCACTGCTACCGGGGCGTAATAGACTGGACTATATAGCTTCATTCCTTATGTTGATGTGATCCTTATGTTATTACTTTCAAGCGACGCTTGCCCGCCGTTGCACAGTGATCTGGCGCTTCAAGTCTCAAGTCCTGGCCAAGAATGCTGGACGCATGTGAACGAAAATGGTCTTATGGCTTAGTGGGTTAGCAAGTGCTGTGTACAACACGCCTCCAGGACTGACAGGCTTTGTGTTCGAGTCTCGCTAACGAAGAGGAAAGCGTCGCTAACCGATTTTCTTGTTTCTGCTCATGGATTGCACAATGCACATTTCTCTTTATAATTTCAAACCTGATGATACAGTACTTTCATTAATGCTCTTTTCTAGTGACCGAGCACTCCCAAACATAACCAGATTGGGTAATAGCTCCCATGCTCGGGGGTGCACAAGAACCAGGCTCTCCATACAGGTACATATAGCTTCCTGCTTACTATCTACTCGTCCTGATCCTCACTGTCTTATACAAATACTGTTCACGCAGCTGTAGTGCTCTGATCCGGTTCCCCACCACCCCCGGCGCACCACCTGACCGATCGGGCTTTCCAGCATGTTCAAGTCAACTGCAGCTGGAGACCAATATTCTTGCGTGTAGGACACAACAGATTCCGCCGCATCTTGGTTCCTGGTAAGGCAGGGAGTAATGATACCTAGTAGTAAACGCGCCCCTGATGCAGCACTCCAGACAGCTTGGTCATTGGGAAGATTACACTTGAGAATGTGTTCGAGTCGACCGTACTGTACTGTACGTTGATTTTC